ATGCAGCGCAGCCATCTTGTTTGTTTACGTGACGTCACGGAGCGCGAAGAAGTCACTCCCGCTCCAAGAAATTTTCGGTGCATGAAGAGCGCGCTCAAGTGTCAGTCTCCGGTGGCACTCCTGTCCGTTTAGTGAAAGGAGTGCCAAACTCTCGCACTGCGGAGCACGGACTTAACGCGCCCAGTTTAAGCGAATCTCGACAGGTGAAGCTATTCACCTATTTAAATACTTTATTCATCGCAACTTACCTTCATGTCTTGCAGTGTCACCGAATCCACTCATTTTGCACTGCAACCATGGCACAGTTCGACCTGGTTCAACAAAGCGTTTGTGTAGCAATCGACAGAGCCGGTGCAAAGAAGAGGGATGACAAAGGGGCAGCGGGAGGAAGGACGATGGGAGGAGCGTACCTAGGACTCTCATTATTCGTCCCGTGGCGCGCGCGGGCTTATGGGATTTTTGCAAAGGGTCTATTGGTATCGAGAAAGCATTGCAGAACACCTCTCCCATTGGAACGCTTCTAGTTCAAAAATTTTTTTATCGACATATTTTTTCTGTCGAGCATTGATCTGAGATTGTAGGTCTTTTTCCCCAAAATTCCTTTATGTAAATCTAGTGCTTGCGACGCATTGCACTAATCCATTTTACAGCTGCTACCTATTTCACGGAAAAGTATGAAAGGTGACAACCACAAGTCTCCTCCCATTCTCGAAAAGTATCTAGCACGACAATGAACCACATCGTAACACTTGCACTGCTCTTACGGGCAAGAAAAAGATGGAGGGACAGAAATAAATCCCTTTGCATTCTGCGACTATAGAGCCTCTGCTGTTGTCAATGGCAACTATGTAAACACTGCTCATTCAAGGAGCAGTTTAAACTGTTTAAAATTCAATTGCTCATTCAGGGAAGTATGAAATATTAAGATTTTCTGCTAAAGATGTGTTTAAATCTAAAAGCTAAGATTTATTTTGTTTTCCTGGAGATACAATCTGACCAGACAACCTTTGTTGTAACATGATTTAAGGCAACAACCCAGGGACGGGAAAAGGACAACAGCACAACACACGAGTGTCAACACAGCTGTGGGGGCTTGGAGACCCTATATACACACGAACCTCTGCGCAATAAATTTCAGCTGTGTTTGAGACTTGAGTATTCTGCTGTCACTGTTTTCCGCAGTCTCGGGGTTTTCGACTAAATTTTTGTTAGACTTTCACCAGCTTGTTTGTGCCCCAACTTTTGTTCGCTGCTGCAAGTTAGCGACAAGCTTGCGCACATTTGCTCTTAACAAAGTGTCTGCCATAACAACCGTCTGAGTGTACACATGTTGTGGTGTCCCCTTTGAGGAAGGTTTATGTAGTGCAGTTACTCTTGTTTGCTTCTCGGATAGGAATTTGATCCCATCAGCAGTCTGACATGGCAAGGTCTGTCGTTAACCAACTGAACAAAACATGCTATCGGGGCAAAATCGTATGTAGTCAAAGCACAACGTGAAGGTTGAAGCAGAGGGACACAAATTATATGATAATGCGACCGTAAACCATCCACAGTGTTAGAAGTGGTGCAGAACATAACCAATCGGACACACTCTATAGTTTGCCAACGCCTAGCTTTGAACATTTCTGCGAAAGGCCCATGTGGCTGTTGGGCCTCTTCCCCTATGTACTTGCTCTTCCCCTAGCACTCACAGTGCCAATGTGTTCTGCATGCCCAGATGCTCCTGAGCCGACCGCCTCACCTCTCCAAGACAGCAGCGTTGGAGCTGCTTGTGCGACTCCGCCGGCAAGGAGCATTACCTGCCCCCGTGCTGAGCTGCCAAGCGGGGCATCCAGAAGAGCTGGAAACCGCATCGCAGCACTGGAGCGGATCATGGCTCCCGAAAAGGAGGCCCGTGTTGACATCCTCGAGAGGGAAGATCGGCGGAAGGAGGCGCAACATTTAATGCAAATGCGCATACTGCGCAACAAGCTTTTTGAACAGCGACGACGCGGACGGGCAGAGTTCCAGCTGCTCCAGCTGGAGAAAGAGATAAAGATTAGGGATGCCGCGAACTTTTTTCGAATCGAAGTTTCGATGATCGAATCAAGCGGTTCGAAAGGTTCGAAAGATTTCGATTTTTCGAATTGTCTATATCGTAAAATTCGACGGAGGTCGAATTTTCGAACTTGTTAAGCTAAGAAGTTCGGCGCTTTTCGAACCGTCGAACATATTACGCTAAAAAATTCGATCTTTTTCGAACTTTCGAACTTATTGCGCTGCAAGGTTCGATGCTTGTCGAACTTTCGAACTTGACTGACCAAAAAATTCGATTAATTTCGAACTTTCGAACTTATTTATCAAGAAAATTCGAAAAGTTTCGAACTTTCGATTTCTGAAAAGTCAGAAGTTCGACGAACTTCGAACTTTTAGGGTAAAAGTTCGACGTTCGTCGAACTTCGAAAGACCGGCGGACGGTTTCATTTGATTTCAAGTAGTGGGGTACATTCGTAATTTTTTTTTCTCGAACTTTTACACGCGGTGCTGCGTTTCTTACGAAAGACAATGTCATTTATTTCAATGTTCTGGCATGCTTAGGTTTAAAGAAATAAATCCCCGAAGGGGCGAGGACGGACGACGGGTTTTTGACGATTATCGTTTGTGCCAGATTTGAAGCATGCTGCAGCCGGAGCTATTTATGGCAGATATGTTATACCTTTTTAACAATGATCTATGTATAGCCTAGGTAAGTGCCGTCTTAAGATGTGATTATTGTTATTCAACGTGAGTTTCGAAGAAATGTCCAAACATGTATCTGCATGCAATTATGACCTAAACTTGATATTTATTTTCGTCTAAGTTGTTTGAGGTATCGCATTTAAATTAACACCACAGACAGTACATATCATTGCCATCTGCAGAATACAAAATAATATATTTATTGTTTTTCTCACGTTAAGGAATAAATTAACTCATTGCAGAAGATTTGTAGTAGTGTTCAAGTTCAGCACGTCATTAAAAGAAAACGTTTTTTTTTTTCGCTTCACGTTCCTGGGACGTGTTTCTTTTAGCCTGTACACATTTTAATAAAAGAAACTTGTTTCGAAGTTCTGAACCTCTGAATATGCAAGAATAGAACACTTCCGACGAATTCTTGATAGTTTTTTTTTTCTCCTGCTTTTTATTCCTGCATTTATTCTTTTTTTTTTCTTTTGTTACTATCGGCACAGGTGTTTAGGTCGAAAAGACATAGCTTTGAACTTCCGAACCACTAAGCATGTGCCGAGCAGTGCCTTCTGACAACGAGTTTCTAACAGTGACCATCTACGCAACCTTTTATGCAGGGAAGAGCGACAGTAGCTATACATATGCATAAATAATTTCAGATTAAAATAAGCTCGACCACGCCCTCTTTCCCCGTATTGTTTTCTTTAACAGTCCGAAATACCTGCAAGGGGGAAAAAGAGGCTGAAGCCCCTACCCCTCCCCCCCCCCCCCCCCCCGCTACCCTCTTTCCCACCGTTTTTCCTCTTCCGACGCCACTTGTATGGTAGAACGCTCCTCGACCTCGAGTTGTGTCGGCTTTAGTGCTTTTTGCGAGGCGATTCCTCCGTCCCAGAAAATAAACCTCCAGGACAATTATAAACTTCACCGGATCGGATTACTACCAGCGTGCAAGGGGTGGCGAGGTAGTTTGCCAGGTCGCTTCCAGGTTTTTCTGAGCCTCAACCTCCTGCTCGCCCCTGGCCGTTTCGAACTGGATGAGTCTCGTAAAACAGTGCGTTCGTGCAATCACTACTGCGTGATGCAGGTTAAAGACCCCCCGCCCCCGGGGCTGGCGGTCACAATTCTGCACTGGCAAATATTCTAGCACGTCCGGGACACTCGTGTCTCATTTAATTGCCTGACCAACTTCGCAGAATCTAGATATCACACCCTAACTTTTCTAAACTTGATTTTGTGAAAACCAGTGAGTCGTGAAAACGTTATTTGAAACTGCAACTCTAGAAAAACTTGAAAATCGGACTTCAAACTTTGAAAACTTAAATTAAAAAAAAAAAATTCAAAATCTTCGAAGTTTTTTTTTCTTTTTTTTTTTTTTGAATTTAGCGTAAAAAAAGAATCGAAACTTTCGAACTTTTCGACCTTTATGCCAAAAGAAATTCGAAATCTTCGAATTGTTCGAACTCTATGTCTATAAAAATTCGAAGCGTTCGAAGTTTTCGAATTTTTTTTACAAAGAATTTCGAAATCTTCGAACTGATCGAACCTGAAGTAAAAAAATATTCGAAATATTCGAATTCGAAATTTTAGAAACCGTGAAAGCTTCGAAATTTTCGAATTCGAAACTCCGCTGTGGACAAAAGTTGCGAATTTTTCGAAATCGAACCTCGGTCGGTACGAAAATATCGAAATTTTTCGAAATCGAACCTCAGTTCGCTTCGCAAATATCGAAACCTTTCGAAATCGAACCTAGGGTGGTTCGCGACATCCCTAATAAAGATGGAGCAGCTGGCAGCCCTGCGCTGCAAGCAACAAGGGTGTGGGAATCACAATTAAATTTGGGTTCTTGCAGTTTAGCAGCATTCTGAGGATTTACTTATTTATTTTAATTATGTGCGCTACATTGTAGTGGAATGGTAGAACCAAATGTGTTTTGCATATTCGGAAGTTGAATGGAACAGCACACTAGAATTGAAGGAAAGGGCAGGTCTTTCGTTAGCTCTGTGCTGGCCACAAGTCTTTCCCAGAATATGTTTAAGTGACCGAATACCCGGAATCTGATTTAAGAATCAATTTATTGGAGAGCTTACTACTGGATTCGTGTCCGAGTATTTGCACGAGTAAGTGATGGGTCAAGAACGGAGTACAAGCTGGAGAGGAGAAATAGGACGGAAGCTTTAAGTGGAGAGGAGGTTTCTCCTCTCCACCTCAAGCTTCTGTCTGATTCGTCCTCTCCAGCTTGTACACTATTCTTGACCTGTCATTGACTATGAACATGTGCTTCTGCTTGAATATCCTTATTGGAAACACAGTGCGATGATCTGTGTGCGTTTCAGCGAGTCGTTGATTGTGTCGACAGGGTCTGGAGGTGATGGCAGTACATGAGGACGCAGCCGCCTCCGGCGTCGGGGCACTGGTGGAGAGGGTAGAGCGGGTGGGCATGGCTCTTTTCGCAGCCGGGCCAGGTTGTGCAGTGCAGCACAGGCGGTGATGATGAGGGCTGACCGTTCCGCCTTGTACTGCAGCCGCATGTCCAGGCATGGGAAGCGTCGCTTGAACACTCCAAATGCCCGTTCGACCGAGTTCCTTGTTTTTAGGTGAGCTGCTTGGTACCTATATGGTGCAGCATTGGTAATGGAAGCAACGTCGCAAGATAAGGGTCTTCAGGTGAAAAAATCGCCACTGCTGGAACCATAAGTATGGTTCAGTAACCTGTACAGTGCGGCCTATCCGTGCTAGCTGCATTTTTGGCATTTTCTATTGCTTGCCAGAGGCTACTGTTCTGCATACAGTGTACTTTTGGCTGGTGGTTTCTACATTACCGTCTTAATTCAAGTTCTTAGCCCTAGTTCAATTCTAGTGACAAAAAGCAACAATTGACACTGACTAACTCTGAAGAACAACAAATGTTCTCGAGGAAAAAAAAAAGACAAAACTGAAATGTTGTATGCTACATACTTTTGAAAAAAAAAAATTGTCTAGAGGAAGTGAACAATGCCAGCTTTTTTTGCCATACAAAGGCCCAAAGGTCATGAATCTAGCTGTAACAAAGATTTGCAGAAGTAATAGTAACCAATAGCAACACTGTGGGTACTGCATCCCTTCTTGTTAGCTGTTCTGAATTTCATGCCATTATTTCTTCCAACAAACTAGTACATACCTGCCCTTTGGGCTGTTGGCGACACCTGGATTGGTCAGGGGCGTAAGAAGAAATGACATGCAGGGATAGCCTGCATCTCCGAGCAGCAGGCCAGGGATGCGCTGATTCTCGTACAGGACCCTTGCACGACTGTTGTCGAATATCCTGCTGTCATGCACAGAGCCCGGCCACCTAGCAACAATGTCAAAAAACTGCAGCTGGGGTCCTGTGATGGCCTGTGGATAGGAAGGAGCAGTGCAGAGATGAGCAGGTTGGCATGATATGAACACAGAAGTGCTCAAGCTGAAATTTTTACTATGATTAGTATATTGTTGACAAAGTGCATCTGCAAGCTTTCGAAATTAACTAGAATTTGAGTTCTCGCAGTTTTATGCGACATAAGCTTCAATGTGGCTTAATTCCTCGGTTTTTTTCAGGCGGTATAATAGAACAGAATTTGAGCACAGGATAAAATCTCCCAAATATTTTCTTCGAAAAGTATAATTCAAGGGGAAAATACTATGAAGCATGAGCGTTTGCTATAAAATAACAAAAGCCATCTCGGCACCCAATCAAATGTATGTTTCCAAACACACAATGCATAATTCTTGGTTTTGAACCCTCTCTAGCTGGCCCACTACCACTCTGCACTGTCGCAGAGTGCAGATATCTTCACAAGTTCTAGTATATATCAGTCACAATATCGCCGAGCTTTCACGTGCGACGCCGCGTCTTGGCGTGCCGTTGTTTTCAACTTTTTCGCTGTCGCTAACAGCACAAACAGAAGTGGACTTACCTTCACGTTGAGGGAGAAGAACCCCTTCCTGTTCCTGAAGACTTCCCCATTGGGACCGCCAGGTCCCTTTATTTTGACGTGGGTGCAGCCGATGCACCCAGTCACACTGGGGAACTTCCCGATGTTGTAGAAATCCCGCATGACCTCGTCGCAGTCACCCTCCGGGAAATCCACGAGGCGGGGGAAGATAGTCTCGGCGAGGACCCGGGAGACGCGCTCGATTACGCGGCACACCGTCGGCTGCGACACGTTCACAAGGTCGCCCGTGACTACTTGAAAAGTCCCGGCGCCATAAAATCTCAGCGCTACGAGGAGCTGGAGCATCGGGGACAGTGGCAGGCCGCGACTGCTCTCGTTTGCTTCCAGCGGCAGGCACTGCAGGAGGCTTACGACTGTCGATTTTGTAGAACGATAGCGCACCAGGAACTCCCAATCGTTGAAATGCTCCAGCGGATTGAGCCGGTCCCGGCAACGTCGTCTCGGCACATCGACGTCCTGGTCGGGGTCTCGGTCGTCATGAAGAACTTCGTCAGTTCTCAACACGAAGTCGACGAAGTCGCCGAACGATGCGTCGGCCGCCATGACACTGAACGCACTCGAGTGACTCGAGTGGCCGTTCAAGGTAGCTCCGGCGCAGACTCGAGATCTCGAGTAAATTTTGGAGTTTCGAGTGGAGATTTTGGAGTCGAGTGGAGTTTCGAGTGGAGATCTCTTTATGAATCGCAAAACCACCCTAAAGTCGAGTTTCGAGTCGAGTTTCGAGTCGAGTAGCGTTTAAGAATACGGCGGCAAAGCTCCTTCAACAGCGCATATGCTGTCGCTTTTCTCTCTTGTTTCTTTCCTTTCTTGTTTTTTTTTTCAAAGATGTGAATGTTTTTGTGTGTGTGTTCTTTTTTTGCATTTTTGTTTGTGTATTATTGAAGCTAAACGAGTACAGGCAAGTAAAACATAAAAAAAAAACGGGACAAAAAAAACAAAAAAAACGCTAAGCTGTTTGCTATTTTGTCGTCCTGTTTCCTCCTCATTGTAGGGTTCGTAAAGTCAAAGTATTGATATTTTGAGATTTTCTTGCGCTGCCCTGAAATTGTCGTCCAGTCCTTGACACTCAAAGGGTGGGGGACTTTAGTTAAGCCGCCTGCATTTTCCGAAGCGAGGCCAGTGTTCTTCGAGGTCAGGATTTCACGGCTTTTGTGACGTCGGGAGCTGAGCCCTTCGCATCTGCGGGCCTGAAGAAAAGCTTCGGTTACTAAAATGGCCGAGTTTGGAGAGAGCTAGCTGTTCCAAAAGCCGAAGCCGGAGATCTGTTTTTCACCCAGTCCACGGACAGCGTCGTTTTCTTCGTTTTGCTTTGGTATGTTGTGGGCACGGCCCCTACGAAACGGTAAAGAAGAGGTAAAGAGGACCACATGAAATTTGGGGAATGTTCCAATTCTTGAACACCCCCCCCCCCCCCCCCCCCCCCCCCCGCCGTCCTCTGGCTACGCCACTGGTGCGCAAAAAGGTTCTTGTCATCCAAATAAAATTTAGTTGCCAGTAGCGCTCCGAGTTTGCACTACTACTTCTTACAGTTCAGTTGTTTGTTTCTTCTTGCGCTTCTAAGTATAGATTTCTTGCAGCTGACGTCACTTCCGGCTAAACTGTAGGTCAAAGCCAACATTGTCGTCTGCTTTGGCGCCATGTTGGAGGCATTCGGCGTCTTATTGTGACAGCAGTAGTCCTGTAAAGTCATAAAGCCGTCTTTGTATAACAACATTTCAGAATATTTTCTTGACCTAGTCAATCGCAAAAAAGTTCTTCACCTGACACGAAGTGCAGTCGATAAACCCATAGTTAGGGTACGAAGCTTTTCTGTCAAGATCATAGAGTCAACATAATAATCTAAAGCGGAAAGTCCCAAGCGTTTCGCCGCGACGGGAGGGCGATGCATAGACGCGGACATCGGCGGCCCCATTTGGCGGTCCCTATGAGCTCATATCGCTGGCGACGCATATGCACAAAGGAGCAGCAAAGAATCACCCGTAAATTCCGCACCTTTTTTTTTTACTTTGCAGAAAAACATTTGAATTCCGCGTTGACAAAATTAAAGAAAGGTAGGCTGCACCAACTTACTTATTAAAACATCCTTGCCCATCCTCCTCCAACAAAAAAAGGAAGCGGATAGGAAAACAAAAATAATAATCTGCGCCCAGCAGCGTCGAACATGCGCCGACCCCATAGCGGCGCCATCTGTTGACAGCCCGTGATATCGCGAGGAGAAACTTACTCTCGCTACAGTTACTCTCGAGTTCGAGTGAGGGTTAAGGGAGGGTATCATCGAAAGAAGTGGTCGCAAAAGAGTAACTTTGATGAAGAGAGAGTTAAAGTAGAGTAAGTTGGGGCACTTACTCTCCTTTGACACCTTTGTTTTTTTAGAGTGTATACTGCATTTTTTTACGTGTAAGTCCGCCTTTTACTTGGTTTTTGTTCCGATGCATGCTTTCTGCGTTATATGTTTTACATTCAAGTGACTCCCGCTCATTTCCTTTCACTTTAGACTCTGCTTACTGTGTTTCACCACGGTGGACCGCTGCGGACGCTACGAGTCACCCCAGCCAACCCAGCACCGTGAGGGGGACTACACACACGGCGCGTTGCTGCGCCCAAGGGTCACGCGACACTCTGAAGGCACTGGATTGGTTTCGATGGCTCTCGTGCTGTCTATTGCGGTCCATGGTAAGATGAAGTGGATTGTCGTCACCGTCTTGTCGCGTGACCGAACTGACTAGACCTGCAGAAAGACATTATCGCGACATGGTTTATACAGTCTCGTGATGCGCCGTAGAGGTTGCACTTTGACAGAGGATGTGTTCTTGCCACTGTGCATAGAGTCGCTTCCAGCTGCGTACAAGCCGTATTGCTGTGCAGGTATTTGAAGAATACAGTAATATAGCTTATTTCTGCGCCACGCACAAACTGGATATTTGTATGGTCTTATGAAACAAGCACGCTGGCCGCGTGTGTCCTGGAAAATAAATGCAAAAGAGTTTGCCAAAAAAAATAAAATGAGTGGATTTAGGTCGTCGTCACCAATGGCGTCGCCTCCCGGATACAAGGAACCACGAGGCCGAATTCCCCGAAGGGCCCGGCTCTCCCTTGCCCATTTTGGGTGAACGCGCCTTCGGCAAACCCTTGAGAGTTATAATGGACGCGACTGCTAGCGGCCTCCCCGGGCGCGTCCATTCTCCGAGGCTACATAAGCTGGCCCCGAAGGAGTGCCAGGGGCTAAGGCTGTATAAGCATAAAGAGCAAACCAATTAGTGCCAGGGGCTGGGGAGGAAGTGGCCGAGTGGGCTAACGCGTCTCAGCTCGGAGCGTGGAGCGAAAGCTTGCGCTGGGAACCTCCAGGGTTCGATCCCCGCCGCCCCGCCCGTTTCGATCTGGATGAGTTTCGTACCGGCACGCGTTCGTGTGATCACTACTGCGTGATGCACGTTAAAAACCCCAGGTTAGCGGTTGTACCGCACTGGCCAAGTTTCTCATCTACAGCTAAGAGACCGATTGCCCGTTGAGGCGCATCTCCATCAAGGCTGTATAAACATAAAGAGCAAACCAATTTAAGTGCCAGGGACTCTCGTCGGCGGAGGCCCTGGCTCTACGGAGTTCGGTTTTTCTTTGTGGGCCTCCGACTTTCCTTGAATCTGTCTAATGCGGCAGCGCGGGAAACCGACCGGGTGATGCTGGCAATTGAGCCAGCGCCAAGACTTTTCATTGTCTAGGAGCGAAGCGTGTTGGCGTTTCAGTCAATAAACACGTCTTTATCCGAACCCAAGGAAGCTTCTGTTTTGCTCAGTGGTACCACCAAAAGGATATCCCGCACAGTACAGTGTAAACAAGCACTTTGTGCCACCAGCACTCCGCTTAGTGCTTTTTTGTTAATGCTTTTTAGGCATTTTGCTTTTTTTTTTTTTTGCAATTGTGTATGCGTTTTATAATGTCCGCTTTGTGCTGCTTATGCCGGCAGCACAATGTAGCTGTCAAGTGCCAATTTTTACGTTTAGGAATTAGAGGATAGGAATGGAACGATTCAGCCATTCCAGGAGTGGGAATGGGCCCAGTGTCCCCATTCCTAGGAGTTGAAAGGAATTAAATTATCGCAAACTCTAATTCCCCGAAATGGAATTAGAATGGAATGGAGGTGGCCCATTCCGCAACACTGATGTCGACACAAAAATGGTTGCCGCCGTCGCTCATAGATTGTGGTAGCTGTCTAGAGTGTTGTGTTTGCCGGTTTTCCGCTCGTAGTACACCGTGTTTCCCCCTCCGCTAACCCTCCGCTACAAATAAACAGCCACTGCGCCTGCGCGCCGATGGCCTTGGCTGTAGAGTTCCGGGTAGCGGAGGGGCTTACTGGAGGGGGACACACGGTCTACTAAACGCGGGAACGGAATGAGCGGCGAAGTGCGCAGTAGCGTGAATAGTTTCGTAACCGCCGCGAGGCCGCTATCGCCTAAAGTTTCACTGCGTCGACCGCTTCAGATTCCCTTGCAAAAGAAGAGCAGATCGCTCGCTTGGAAAGCCACCGCCGAGAACAGAAGCTACAGCTCCGGTGATCTTTTTTCACCAAAGTGGAAAGGCTGAAAAGTTTTCCAAGTGAACGTTTCCTGACCTAATTTTGGCAGAGCTGGCCAAATTACACATATTTTGTAATTAAATTACATTACTAATTACTTTGCTCAAAATTGCTGAAATGTAATTAAATTACATTACAAATTACCACAGCCAGAAAGTAATTAATTACCATTACAAATTACTTTTAAAGGTAATGACATTACTTTCGCATTACTTTTGTATACTTTTAAATATAAAGGAGCTATTGATAACTCCCTTTTAAAGATAACTTTATTTACATTATTTACACAGTTCATGGCACACAGCTAGAACTCTCTGTTGCATGCTTACCGATGGACAGAGGAACGCACGCGACTGATCCGTTTCCCACCCCAACCCGGACAACTATTTTTGGAGATGACTGAGGACCCTACGCGGATAATCTCTGGGTGGGGGAGAACAATTGTCATTGTTCGCAAAATCGCGTCGAGGGCCGTTCCACCAGGGGCCTTAGTTCGACCTACTTCCCCTCCTTCGTTTCCCGAGAATGTCGAGCAGAAAAGCTCGAATGGCAGGCACTTACCAGCCCTATTTCTCACAGTGGAAGATAACACAGAGAGGGTACGCAGCATGCATCAGAAAAAGTAAGCGGAAACTTTCAAGAGGGGCCAGAAAACGTCGAATGCAAAACCGCAAAACATAGGAAGAGAATCGCGCTGAGCGGGTTTTCACAGTTCAAGAGAGTGGCAGAAAATGTCTAGCTGATGGCGGGCGCGAGAGTCGCACCAGCCGCATTAGCATCAGCAACATAGCGGCGGCCAAAGAGCGTTTTTTGGAAATGTGTAAAGGAAAAAGAAAAAAATAAAATAAAAAGAAAAGCGCTCTTGTGTATTGTGGACACAAAAATATGCCTGGTGCGAAAAAGTAATTAGGTAA